AAACTTTCTCCGCCACGTCCAGATCCTGAGTGCAGCAGCAGCAGCCAGAGTTATGATAGTGGGTGACGGGCAGGTTCTTGTAGACGGCTTTGCTGTAGGGGACGAGGCAGTAGCCCAGTTGGAGGCGCCGGGCGAGGCGGCAGTAGGCGGCCAGCGCCAGGACCAGGAGGGGCACTGCCAGGGTGAACCCCACCACGAGGAGGGCCACCGAGGCCGCGTCGTGCAAGTGGGCCGTGCAGTAATGCGCCTGGGCGTGCAAAAACTGGAGGGAGAGAGAGAGAGAGAGAGAGAGAGAGAGGAGGGCATCAGAAGGTGGGGAAATGTTGCTTTTCTTTTGTCCAGGAAAAAACAACAACACAATGATGTAGGATTGCAGCCCCTCGCTTGCTCATCCTCGGAAAGGTTTAAAATATTTTAAATAAATAAAATGGAAATAAATTTGGCAGCCAGCGTGGCCTTGGTGAGGAAGGGGAGATTCCAGGATGGGTGGATGTTCTTTCTAAGCCACCCACCCACCCACCTGGGTATCTCCCCTTCCCCACCATAAACAGGCCGCTTACATCCTTAAAATACAATATTAAAGGGAATTGTATGACCCCTGCCCTCCAGGTGCTTCCCAGCTGTGCAGAAAGGGGCACCAAAGAGCCATCCAGCTGTGCCGGGGTGACCCAAAACAGAAGACACACACACACACAGAGGGAGAGAGAGAGAGAGAGAGAGAGAGAGAAGATGTAGGCTTTTAAATAGGCCACTGGTTTGTTCGTGACTCCACAGGGTCCCTTCTAGCTCTGCTGTTCTAAGATGATGATAATGATGATGACAGCCCCTCACAGTGACTATGAATGTATGAGTTTCAGAAGACGCTGCCTTTAACCGCCCTGCTCAACTCTTGGAAATTCAGGATAGTGGCTTCCTTGAGGGAGTCAGTCCATCTCATGCTTGCTTGGTCTTCCTCTTTCCCTGCGGCTTCCGCACTATTCCTAGCCTTGCTGCTTTTGCGAAGCCACCCCGGGCAGCTAAAGAACGCATGGAGTGAAGCAGGCAGGTAGTCAGGGAGGGGATGGTCTTTGGAAGGGTAGGGGGGAGAACCAAACAGCAGCCTCCCCATCCCACCCCACTTCAAGAGGAAGTTGGAAGGCAGCACAGGCAATCTCTGGAATGTGCCCGTTTGGCCTCACCCTGCGGCTTCCGCACTATTCCTAGCCTTGCTGCTTTTGCGAAGCCACCCCGGGCAGCTAAAGAACGCATGGAGTGAAGCAGGCAGGTAGTCAGGGAGGGGATGGTCTTTGGAGGGGTAGGGGGGAGAACCAAACAGCAGCTCCCCCCATCCCACCCCACTACAAGAGGAAGTTGGAAGGCAGCACAGACAATCTCTGGAATGTGCCCGTTTGGCCTCAAGGTTATCGAAGCTGCTGCCTGCTCCATCTGGCTTTTGTCACAGGGAAACAGGGTGGAAAACAGACCGCCAGACTTTTCCTGGCTTGGCGATCCTCTTCACTCTTCCTGTTGACTGTCTTTATCGGAGGTGGTTGTGTCACGCACCACCCTCTGAGGTGCAAGAATAATTCCAAACAAGATTTCAGAATCATGGCCTTTTTCGTTCCCAAGTTTTGTTTCTCACTAGGTGCGAGAATATCCCAAAACAGACATTTAATGTTCCTTATGGGAGAACTTGCAAAAGTTATTCTGTGGACCCCAAATCCCCAAAAATCACCTTCTTATGTCTGGAGTATTCTGAAAGAGCAAATAAACAATCTTTCTTTCTTTCTTTCTTTCTTTCTTTCTTTCTTTCTTTCTTTCTTTCTTTCTTTCTTTCTACCTTTCAAAGCATTAAAACCCTTGCAGTTAAGACCTGCATGGGCCAAGACCGTCAAGCCCAAAAGACTTTTAAAGAAGTATGTTCTGACAGCGCTAACATGCTCCTTTTCCTCCTGTCTTGTGTGAGATCTTTCACATTCACTGGCCTCTGAGCTGCAGAGAGAGCAAAGTGGTACAGTCCTGCAGTGTGTATGTGGGGGAGGACTCCACCATTTCTGGACAGGAAAGTCTGGCGGTTCCTTTGGGTCGGGTCTTATGAAACAAACATAAAGCTTCTCTTTGCAAGGCTAAAAATCAAGCCGCGAATGTCCTGGTACGATGATTTGTTTCAATGTGCTGATCCTTTTGAATAGCACATGTGCATGAGTGAGCCTTTAAAAATGCTACCTTTTTGCTTTGAAAAGCAACGGGGCCCAGCCTTTGGTGGATTTTTAACACCTTATCCTGCTGAATGTATAGCCCAGATGCAGAACTAGGGAACTTTCCTGGCTTTGGATGACAATCCTGGCATTATTTCGGCCATCCCAGGGGGAATCTCTGCCCACTGTAATCCCAAAGGTAATTTTTCCATGCTCCACTGAATCTTCATTTCTTCCTTGTGGCTGATCTTGTTCATCATAAAATCTATATGTACTGAACAAGTTAGCCACAAAAATCTATATTTCAGGGTGCAAAGAAATCTCCTTTTTTTCCTAGTTAAACTCTGGTGGCTTTTTCCCACATAAAGGGGGAATTCTCACAACTGCTGCAGATCACAGCCTTCCTAAAACCGGGGATATCCCCCCCCCCAATTCTCCACCTCTTCAAATCCACCTCCCGAACCAGAGCGAAAGTACAGGATGTCGCCGAGGAACGATAACAACAATAACAGCCTTCCTCTAAAAAAAGATAATAATGCTGGGAAAAGTGGAAAGGCAATCAGCAGGAAAAGAGGATGTTTGAGCATGAAATGTACTGACTCAATCAGGGAAGCCACAGCATGCAGTTTGCAAGATCCAGATCTTCTAATGGCCTTGCCTTACAGGGATGTTAACTACAAAACCTTTCACGGGTCGTTGCATAAGGTTGCTACAATTCAGAACTGACTTATTTTTAATTTTGATTTATTTAACTTATATGCCGCCCACTCTACCCAAAGGTCTCTGGGCTGCACATAATGATTATTATTTGGAAGCAATTTGATGGCACCTAACGATAGACCAGGAAAGAACGAGCAAAGAAAAAAGCCAGAGGCTGGGGGCAAACGTTGCTTTGGAGAACAAGGTGCTGTTCTCAAGAGCCACGTTTCCACGCTCCGGAGGAAAGTCTCGGAAGGAAAACGTGGCTGATGTTAAAGGCCTGGTCCAGAAGCCTCACTGTGGAGACAAGGATCAACCGCTTCCAGGGAGGGAAAGAGAAGACAAGGGCAGTGGCTGCTAATTAGTAGAACCTCATGACACTTTCCAAGATGAGCGAGAAATGGGAAAGAGCGGCTGCTAATTAGGAGAACCTCATGACATTTTCCAAGATGAGCGAGAAATGGGAAAGATTCTCCCCCCCCGTGTGTGCACGCGTACGCCCCCACGGGAGCTCAGCACCAGCAGCTTAATCCCAAAGCATTCCACTGAAGCTCCCCCACCCCCCTTTTTCAACCTCCCTCCGGGAAGACCACCCGGGAGGAGCCCTTGCAGCCGGGCAGCCCAGCCCCAGAGATTTTCAGAGTGGATGGAGGAAAAGCCGAAATGTAGAAAAGGATGCTGGACATGTTGTATCGAATGTGTCTTTCTTTCTTTCTTTCTTTCTTTCTTTCTTTTTCTTTCTTTCTTTCTTTTCCTTCCTTCCTTCCTTCCTTCCTTCTTTCTTTCTTTTTTTCTTTCTTTCTGTCACCTATTCCAGTTTGCCAGGCTTACTGCGAAGAAATTAAAACAGCTGGCCACTTTTTAACACACACCCCCCTCAATGAAGTTGGCATCCTTAGGAGACTTGCCCGGGCTTCGTTTCAGCACCCATCCAGCATGGGCCCAGTGGCTTTTTCCGCACCCTTGGGGAAGAGCGCACGGCCACAGCGCTGTCCAGTTCTGTTTGCAGAAACGGTGGGCCAAAGCTGGACCCAGTGGGCTGCCTGTTTCCGGAGCCTACCTCGGTGCAAGCCACACAGATGTTTCTCTCCAACAAAATGCCTAAAAGTGCATCTCTGGAGAGAACAAACACACAAACAGGCGTATCCACAGCCAGAGGGAAGAAGCCTCCGCTCTTGGAGAGCCGTCCGGGATAACCAGTGGAGATATAAAACGCAAGCCCTTTCTCAGCCCAGTCATCACCGTGTGGCTGTGGACAAACCGGGTCTGGGTATTTTACAAAAAGCACAGGAAAATCTTGGAGGGTTTTGCAGATTGGTTAATACATTTTTAAGGCCACGATGTAGAAAAGAGAAGAGGATGCACACCGCCGTTTGCCAAGAAAATGACTCTTAATTTAGATTGTTAACTCGCCAGAATTGGCAGTTGATTTTTGCCGAAGCCCCGGGAAAGCTCCTTACGAGTCAAATTTATCCGGTGCAATTCTTAAGTGTCAGGAGATGGGGGTGCGCGGTGCTTTTTTTTTTCCCCCTTCGAGGTCACACAAGATTCTCTTTTGGCCACATTTTTGCAAGTCCAGGCGCTGAAAACATTCTGGAAGTTGCACCTTAAGACATTTCACCCACGTTCCTAAAGTCTTTAGGAAGGTCTTCGTCACACAACAAATCACGCGTCCACTCAGCCTCCGCATCCACCAGGAAACCTTACTTGGGGGGGGGGCAGCTGAAGTTTACGCTTCTGAGCTGAACATCTTTCTCTTTTTCATTCCTAGGCTCGGGGTGATTCAGTCCCAAGAGTTTCTCTGAGCCTTTACAGAGTGCCCAACTTTTAAAAAAGAAAAACTTCCTCAATTTTAGACCTACACATGGCAAGCAGGCTCTGGAATCGAACCACACCTTATTGGGTTCTATGCCTCTGGCTTCCTGAAGCTACTTGCGCCATGCTCCCTATTTTGGGCAAAAGGCTACCGTTTGAATAAGAGACTGGAAAAGTTACTTTGGGATTCTCTGCCCCTTCCCGATCCTTGTCATTCCCCCTAAGGGGTCGCTCGGGGTCAACACCTCCCTGGCCCCCAAACCGTGATTCGCACCCGCTTCTCCAGGGTTCTACCCTTCAGGGTTCCAGACACCTCAGGTGCCTCTCCTCGCCCAGCCTGTAGCCCAAGGGCCACCGACTTACCTTGGAATGGCACACGACCCCGAAGCCCACCAGGACCCCGGCGGGGAGCAGGATCAGCCCAAAAATGAGCCCCACCAGGAGGAGGTTGAGGGCGCCCACCAGCAGGTTCTGGATTGTAACCAGGACGGCGCAGGCCCAGCAGTCCAAGGATCCGCGGAGCTCCGGAGCCCCTTCCCCGGCGTAGGGAGGGGGTGGCAGGGGGGAAGCCCCCAGCAACCCACCCTCCCGATCCAGGGACCCCGAGGCGGCCTTGGGGGAGCGGGTGTCTAAGCCCATGGCAGAGGCCAGGGTTCCCACGCACGCACGCACAGCACGCACGGCAGAAGAAGGCAGCTGGCTCCCTTTGCAACCAACCTCCTTGCCCTGGCACTCTGGCTGCGCTCCAGAGGTGGTTTCCCCACCACCACCCATCCTTTATAGCCTCTCCCAGGCTTCTCCACCCCTTCGCTGCGGCTGGACCTGCCTCCGGGATAATCTAGGAATGTGGTCCAGCCCCCCCCCACCTCCACCCCACATCCATCAAAAGCCCAAGTCACCAGGAGCTTTCTTCCAACCCTCTCCCTCCCTCTCTCTGCTTTTTCCCTGCCTGTCCATCCCAGGGATTCTGGCTCATTCCAAGGAAAGTGGGGTGGGGGGTGGAGGGGAGGGTCTCCCTGGCTCTGCTCAAATTCCAAAGATGCTTTTCTGGCTCTCTCTCCCTCCAAGCCGTGCAGCTCCCCACCAGGGAACAGGCGGACCCGCTAAGTCCCAGATCTGAAGATGCTCTCTCTCCTTACTCTGTCCAAGCCGTCCGTCCGTAAGCAACCCAGTGCTGGCTTCTGGCCCTGCGGAAGAAGTACACCTCTTTGCACGGCTACGTTGCCATCACCGCTTATGGACCTCCACGGCATTGGCCTCCAGGAAGGGCATAACTAAAGCATTAAAGCATTTTAATTAAAAAGCATTCTTTAGCTGGCCCTATGAGCAGCAGGATTTATTAATATTAATGTTATAATGATTTTTTTAATATAGAACATTATTATAATATTGCCTATTTTTAATGGTTTCGAGGTTTTTGAAGTTTTAACTTGTACACCGCTTAGAGACTACTGGTAATGGTGCAGCTAAAAAAACCTTGTAAATAAATAAATAAATAAATATTTGTGTCCACCTATTGCTTTCTGTTGTTGTTTAGTCATTTAGTCGTGTCCGACTCTTCGTGACCCCATGGACCAGAGCAGGCCAGGCCCTCCGGTCTTCCACGGCCTCCTGGAGTTGGGTCAAATTCATGTTGGTCTCTTCGAGCCATCTGTCCAGCCATCTCGTCCTCTGTCGTCCCCTTCTCCTCTTGCCTTCACACTTTCCCAACATCAGGGTCTTTTCCAGGGAGTCTTCTCTTCTCATGAAATGGCCAAAGCATTGGAGCCTCAGCTTCAGGATCTGTCCTTCCAGGGAGCACTCAGGGTTGATTTCCTTCAAAATGGATAGGTTTGTTCTCCTTCCAGTCCAGGGGACTCTCAAGAGCCTCCTCCAGCACCACAATTCAGAAGCTGTTCAAGTACTGTGTTAGAAATACTGTATATTTATTTTATTAAGAAAATCAGATAGTTCCATTAAAATACATTTTAAGCTTTAAAAGCATAAAGCATATACATATCCAGTTGGGTCATGTTGAAGTTCCTTCAGAACGGAGAGGTGTTGATCTCCTTGCAGTCCAGGGACTCTCAAGAGCCTCCTCCAGCACCACAATCCAAAAGCATCCATTCTTCGGTGGTCAGCTCAACCTATTGCTTAAAGGGCCTTAAAACACCCTCTGCAAGGACACCCCTAAACAGCATGTCCCTTGTCTCGGGGCCCCCCACCACACTGCTCGTGCGACTATAGAGACCCTACTCCCCCATCCAAGCGGCTTGTTGGGAAAAATAACTTTTCCACGACTTGTGGCATCTTTCCTGCCTCACGTTAGCTGTCAAAAAGAACCCGATGGACATCGGAGAAGAACACAAACCGACCCCTGGAGGTTCACGCCCGCAAGATATAAACTTGCTTGTACAACCTCTGGGATGTGTCTTTCCGTTTACACCCTTACCAACTCTTTTGTGCTCTGATTCTCTACACTCTTGTTGAAATAATAATAATAATGATAAAAGAACCAGGACAAGGAGAGACTGGAGTTCGGGGACAGGCAGTGACAGACAGATCTCTTGATTTAGGGGCTCCGCGGAACTCCGGTGCCAGCTCCACTGAAAATAACAGGAAAGAGAAGACATGCCTATGTACTGTACCTGTCATTGGGGCAGGGGGAATCCTTCTGAGACTACAACACCCATAACCCCCAAGGAAGCCCCAAAGAGGAACTTCCAGAAGCTCTGAGCCCGCCGGCTCCAGCGACCCACCTGGGTCACTTCAAGGACCCTCACCGCACCCCACCGTTCAAAGGGCCAAAAAATTATGGCTTTCAAGCAGCCCCCTTTCCTCATCCCATTTCCGACTCTCAGCCAAACACCAACCACACCTCGCAGCGCTGATCTGACGCTGGACTCCCGGGCGCCTGCAAATTCTCATCCACACTTTTGCACCCAACATTAAAAAAAGAGAAGAAGTATTGAGAGAGTTTTCTTTTATCTCTGTGAGTTAATTTAATTTTTTTTTACATTTACAAAATAAGATTTGCTTTCTCCTTGTCCCCTACAGTACAATAAGAATCCGTGTTTTGTGTGTGTGTGTTTTTCCAGAGTAGCTCAATGTTCATCTGTTTTATTACAGTGTACTTGTGTTGGGGAAGGTGGGGGGGGGTTTGGAATCTGGGAATTAAAAAGTGCAGGTTTCGGAAGGAAGAAATTTGTACAACGTAGGGTGGGGGCGAGATTCCGTTAAAAATGGAAATCAACAGATGAACCAGGATGAAGCTTCATTTCCCCCCTCTTCCCCCTCCCTCACATGAGAAAAAATGAGCGCCATGTCAAGGAAAACATTGACAGACCAAAAAAACAAAACACAAAACACCTCCCAACAAATTAAAACATTTTGAAATCCGATAAAAATTTCAGGAGAAGTCAAAATGAGACAGCAAAAAAAGAGAGAGAGACATTAAAAATGAAACAGATACGACGACATTGTAAAAAGTTATTTCTTTTTTAAAAAAGATGGATCAAAACCCCAATAAAGGACCAATAAATAGAGAAATCATTACAAAAAAAGACATATAAATTAAAAAAGAGAGCGAGGAAAAAAGAAAGAGAGGACATTTTACAAATGACAAACACCGTTCTGAGGCATGGAGGTACGAACTTGAAACAGGGAAAAAAAATGACCCCAAATGAGACGTTTTCTTGGTTTGTAAAAATGAGCCGGGAGTCAAAAGCATGCAGAACCGGAAAAATAGGCAATAAATTTAGCAAAGGGGTGAGTGGGTTGGGGGAAAAGGCTACGGGTTAGAAATTGAAACAATTCAATCGGCTAAAGAGGATGTTCTAAGGGTTGGCGTTCAGGGTATTGTTAACCGCTAAGAAAGATGAAAAGCGAAACGTCCTGGTTAGGGCCCCCCTTTGCTAAACGATAGCGGAGGGGGGAGTGGATAGTGTAGACATTGGCATTTAGGGGGGGCCTAAAGAAGGAAGTGGGGAGAAGGGATCCGTCTCCCTCCCCTTCGTGGTTTTTGCAAAAAGGAAAAAAGAAAAACGCGTCTTATCTACCCGTGTGTCTGTTTTGGGGCAAAGCACCATTATCCCCTATACACAGGGTTGTAATTTTTATTATCCCAGTTTTGGACGCACAGAAATTATTAATCTGCGCTTCACACAAACGTTTTTTTTCCCAACTGGACTCTTTCTTTTCTCCTTCAACTTTTTTTTTGTCATTTTTTGTTGTTTTTTAAAAGCAGTTTCTAATACAAACCAGGATTTTTTTCCCTTATATTTATATATATAATATATAAAAGGATGTAAGAAATCAAAATGTCCATCCGAATAATTAAAAACCACACGCGCAAAGTGTCTCCCGCCCCGCCCCACCGATATATATAAATCAATGTACACTCTTTTTCCCCCCCCGCCCAATGAGAAGTTCATCCAGAGAGAACTGAACCCATAAAACTCCTGTGTTAAGAAACCCGTATTAAATTGTTTTTTTTGCTTGCTTCTGTTTTCATTTTCCAAACTCTTTTTCTTCTTTAAATTTCCAACAAAAAAATATTAAAAAGCAATCAGAAGGAACAAAAAAAGTAAAAACAAAAATCAAGCACCCCGAAATTTTAACAGCCATCTCTCTCTGTTCCATGTGTCTTGCTCTCCACCTCGTGAGTAAGAGGGGAGAAGAGAGAAAAATTAATGCTCGCGTGTGAAGAAAGACAGCTTCCCATCTCCTCTTTAACTGTTGGTTGAAACCCCTGGCCCTTCTTCCAAGGGGAAACCAGGCACCGCGGAGTTGAACATGGAACAGGGGTGGGAGAACCGGCAGGAAGGCCACGCTCCCGATTCCCGCCGGAGACGACGACACGACCTTGTTCATCAATACTTCTTCGTCTTTTTGTAATTCAGTTTTTTTTTCTCTTTTTCTTTTTTTTTTAATACAAAATCAGCACCACCCGGAAGGAAAATAAAAAGGTTCATTCTGAAGAATAAATTAAAGAGGGTCCAGTCGGAAAGGGGGGGGGGAGTCTGAGTCTGTTTGCTCCAGGGCTGAAACAGGCATGAGTGAGTAGGTGGGGTGGAAATCCAGAGGCTCAGCTGCTATTGAAAGGGGGGGGGGGAGAGGTCAGGCTAAAGCGACCCCCTCCCACCACACACGTGGTGAGTCGAGGAGAGGCTCAGCACGGAGAGAGAGACAAGCCCAGACTCCGGTGTCCGGGCGTGGTATGGCTCATCTTGAACTTGGCGATGCAGCCTGCCGAGAAGAGGAGAGAGAGAAAAAAAGACAAAGCTGTTGAAAGAAGCCTGGGATGATTAGGATGATCAGGTTCCCCTTCGCCACCCACTGGGGGCCGGGAAGGGATCCTGCCAGACAGCCTGTGCGGAGTGCATTGGAGTTGACTGAGCAACTCTGAACTGTCTTGAAGCACATGGGTAAAGTTTTAATCCTTTTGCAGACGGCTTTTCTCAGTTTGCCCAAATGGGTTGGAGTGGGGCAGGAGGCTGACCTCCCAGACGCCCTGTGGGAAAGGGGGGGGGGGGGGGGGACCCCCCCCCCCGTCCCCCCCCCTCCCCCGCCACTCACCAGAGTGAAGCTGTCATAGATATGGATCAATTCTTCCGTCTTGTACTGTTCAAGCACCACGACCCCGTGGAGGGAGGAATTTCGCTTCCGGGCACAGGCCTCACAGTGCACCAGGTACGTGTTTTTGCTGCCGTTCTCGCTCGTCACAAAGAGGATGTTGAACACTTCCACCTGCAAAGGAACGCGTGGAGGTCAGCCCTTCGTCTCCGATCGCACGCCCCCCCCGAACCTCCGTGTTCCCGGGTCCCTTGGCCCATCCGGAGAGAAACTGCCGGAGAAGGCAAAGAGGGCCAGGAAGTTGGGGGGTCACCCGGGGCTGACGAGCCAAGGAAGCAGAGTTAAAGAGAGCTGTTTCCCCCCCCCCCATGGTCCCCGTGGGCCTCTCCGCCGGAAGGGCTGGGAGAGTTCGGGTAGTCCAGAAAAACAACTTGCCCAGACCCTGGAAAAGAAGTGCTCAGGTGTATGAAGACACCTGCGGAGAACGGAAGGGCCCCTTCTCCTCCGTGGCCCCTAATCTGCCTTGAAGTCTCGTCCCACCCCCTAAAGGCGCCGGGAAGGCCCGGCGTGCAGACCCTCCCAGATAATCCCCATCTCTGCAAGAAACAACCGCCCCCCGCTTGCATTACCCCACTGCAGGTGGCCTTAAAAAGTTTGCATCTGGATGGGAGGCAAACTTCTTCGCAGGTCCCTTCCAGACGCTGTGTTAAAACACCTGGCTTTCCTTAGGGGGCAAAGGTCAAGCGCCCTCCCCAAAAAGGCACCGTAACAAAAATCCAGAGGAACCCAACCCCTGGAAAGAAAACCAAGGGAAGAGCTGCTTAAAAGTGATTTGCACAGCCCTGAAGTCCAAAGGAGGCCGTCTCGGGTTGTTCCCCCCGTGACCACAGGAGGGCGCCCTCAACAAGGCAGGAGCTGGCGTCTTAGACGGAGCCCTGAATGCTGGGAGTCGTAGTCCAAACCAAAGGCACGTTCCCACCCTCTTGTCCCTCGCCTTGGCCATGGAGGCAGCTGGGAAGCCGGCGCCCTGGGGGTCCCTTCGAAGACAGCCAAGGGAGGCGAAAGAGGGTCCCAGGAGAAAAGCCAACACCTGGAAAGGAGGACGGGATTTCTCCCTGCGAGGCAGTGCTTTTGGTGTAGGAAGAACCACACAAAGGCAGAACCAAGGGGGAAAGAGTTTAATTCTTCTCCAGCACAAGAGTAATCGAAGAGAACACCACACACACCCACACACCCACGGATGTTACAACCCACAGAGTGCGTGCCACACTGTTGGGCGGTATAGAAGTTGGATGACCGACTGACCGACCGAGTCACCCTCAACACAATCCGTGTCACCAAGACTGGAAAGGAGCCCAGGAATCAGAGCTTTCCATTTCATCCCTTCCTCTTCAGAGCTTGTCCCCTGTGGCTGAGTAGATCATCGTGGATCTTGCCTCTGCGCGCAGAATTGCTCCGAAGCAGAAGAGGCTGATTTGTCAGCTCTTGCCCTTTCCTTAAAGGGAAAAGATCCCCACATCTCGGTGTCTTGACCACCTCCTCCTCTTCCTCCTCTCAAGGGGCCTCGCTCTCGGTGGGCTTCTCCGAGGAGCAGGCTCGCCGCAGCTTCCGTGAGCCAAGAAGGACCAGGTCAGCTCCCCTTTTGGCCTAGAAATCGCAGCCTGGGTGCGGTGGAGAAGGCAGCCCCTCTGGAAACAACAGTTCCGTCCATGTTTTCTGGGTTTGAACGCCCATCTGGTCTTTATGGCCTAAGTTCCATCCCGCAGAAGCAGAACAGAATAATATTAATAATTATAACTGTGTGCCATCATGTCAATTCGGACTTCTGGAGACCCTTTTCCAGTGTTTTCCAGGTAGAGGGAATACTCAGAAGTGGCTTCACCCTTCCCTTCTTCTGGGGTCCCCCTGGGACGACGATGCAGCTGGCCCAAGGCCACCCAGGCTGGCGCTTCTCCCGGGAGATGCGGTGGGGAATTCGAACTCCCAGACCGAAGCCCCTGAGCTCTCCAGCCAGCTCAGCAGAATAGGCATCCCTCTAAGACTCTTCCGTTTCCTTCTTTCCTTGGGTCCTCGGTCTGCCAGCCAAGCAGTTTCTTCCATACACACTCCTGGCGGATAACGAGTTTGGTCCTTCCACAGCCTAAACCAAGTCCGTGGGGTTTCCCCATTTAAACCAAACGATGATCCTCAAGGGTCCTGCCAGAAGCTCCTTACTTTTCTGCTTCGGACAGACGCTACACCAATGCCCTTCAAGGCACATCACGGCCGTTCAATCAACTCCAAGGCACTCTCTGAGCAGGAGGTCTGGCAGATATTCCTGGCGCACGAGTTAGCTGTGGTTTTACTCTTCAATCTCGTGGGAGTTTTTTTTCTTCTTCTCCCCAAAACTTTCATCCTCTTCTCAGCAGCCTTCCTGGGTGATCCAACCGCTGGATATTCTGGTTTAGGGAAGTTCCTAATCAATCCTGAGGATTCTTCGGCTCTTGTCCAGGGAAGGGTGGCATCCGTGTCTTTTCCCCCTCTCATCATGTCATCCCTGCAAAAGGCGCCTAAGTCAAGAATTTGGATCCATCCGTCCAGCAAACGGTCTACAGACAATTTTTTAATCGAGCAGTTTATCGCCAGTCCACAGCCATGCTGCCTTCTTTCTTCTTTGTCTTCTTTCGATTTTAAAAAACACGCGGTTCATACTCACTGTTTCGAACTTTCTACTCTCCCTGATGGCCTTCGCTTCTCAGCCACCTTGGGTGCGAAGGAAGTGTGAAAAACCGAAACTGGAGGTAGGTGACAGGAGGTATTTTTTAAAAGACAAACAGGCTTTATAAAAAACACAGTTCACACCGATGGTACAATCAATAAACCCTTCTGGGCAAGTTCCTTAAGGATGGTGTTTGGGAAGAGATGACCCCCACGCACAGAGGAGGGAAAAGTTCCACGGTGGGGCATAAAAACTGACCGGGAATAGATGCTGGTGGTTTCCAGTCAGGAAGACCGGAGGCAAGCCCTGGGAATCGGGTCAAAATGTCACTACATGTGAGACGGTACAAGGGAGCAGGATGTGAAAGCAAAGGGCTAAAGAAGACAAAGGAACTGGGGCAAATGAGTTACCACCAGCCAAACCGGGAGACAGATTCATGCGGCCACAGGATTTTGGCCTGCTGGCGCGGCCACTGTCTGAGGCCGGGAAGGTCACCTATGCTGGAGCTCCATGGGCCGCCCAGCAGAGAAGGCAGAAAGGCGGATAGAAACAAAAAAAGAGAGGAGAGAGAGCAAGAGAGAGAGAGAGAGGCCAGGAGTTCACCCTCACACCCTCTCTACAGAGAAGTCACAACAAGCCCACTGACTGGCTGCGGCAGCCAACACAGGCAGAGAGACCACTGCGGACACCTACGTCACATTCATTGCAGTAATAGGCTGGCTCGTCTTTCACCCGGCCCTGGTAGGCAATCTTCTTCCCGGTCCGGACGAGGGCTTCACGCTGGACCTGGCAGTGTTTTATGGACTGCATCAGACAGTACCTAAGAAAGAGAGAGCGAGAGAGAGAGAAGGAAAGAAAGCGGTTCAACTGCAGCACTGCAGCCAAAACTCTGCGCACAGCTTGGATTCAATCCCAGGTCACCGGCTTGAGGTTCGCTCAGCCTTCCATCCTTCTGAGGTTGGTAAATTGAGTACCCAGCTGCCTGGGGGTTTGTGTGCAAGGGGTAGCCTGCATAAATAACTTGCAAATCACTCACACAGTACCTTAAGCACTGTGGGGGTGGTAGATAAGCAGCACACTTTGCTTTTCATTTTTAGAATGGTTTTAACTGACTTTTTAAAATTATTGTGCTCTATCCTGAGGTCTTCAGATTCAGGGTTGGAAAGAGATGTTGCAATAAATACACAACGGAGAAGTTTTGGATCAAACAGTGATTTGAATCCCTACTATCTCTTCTACAGATAATATATTTTCCCCTGCTCTTAGAAAGGTTAAATTTTCTGGTCTGTAACTCCAAAAAGGCTATTAAAGAGGCCACTTTTTTCTAAGTTTCCCCAGATTCCCCTCACAATGTTACTGATCTGTCTCTTGAAAGTCCTGCACGGAAGACAGGACTGCCACCAGGGCCCATGTGCAGCCACAATGCAAGGCAATCACAGTCCTAACTTCTGCAAACCGCCCCCCTCCTCCTTCTTCCCGAGCCCTTACTTGATCATTTTGTACAGATCGGGGTCGCTGATTTTCACCGTGCGGGCAACGTTCCAGGAGACGTGGATCATCGGCACGATGGACTTGACGTTCTTCACCTCGTTCCATTCGTAGCGCTCCAGCGCCAGCTGATACTGGTAAGCTGTGGGGACAGGGAGAGAGTGTTGAGAGGGCGCTGGAGGAGTGCATCCCCCCCCCGCAAGGAACACGCACGAAGCTAAACCCTCCAATCTGACGGCAATGTGGTGTTCTGCCCAACAACTCACACGCCAACAAGCACAGCCCGTGGTTTGCCCCCCCCATGTTAAGAACAAGAATGCCCCCCCCAAAAGGAGGGAGGATCTAATGTGTCACCCATCAGGCTGTTTGGTTCGCCCTCTCCTCTCGCTGCTAAAATAATGGCTTTCCCAGCAAAAAAAATAAACGCCTCTAGAATCAGTTGTCCATAGGGTTCCCACTCCTGGATTTCATACACACACAAACCAACCTACAATTTTTTTCAAAAGTGGAAGCAGACATCTGGCAACTTCTGACCATTTTCTGCAGTTTTGCAGGGTGCTTTTGCTTTTCTTTTTTTTTTTGGCTCCCTGCCTCCTCTGAAGCTGCCCATGGGCACCCTAAAAGCCCCCCCCCCATTTCTTCTCTGCCTGGCTTCTTACAGAAGATGCCCTCTTCCTCTCCGTGTTCATGAAAGGTGTTCCAGAAAGGGAAGCCCCATCTTCTTGGACCAAGGAGATGTGATGTAGCGTGGTCCTTTTTCAACAGTTGACCGTGGAGGACAGAAGAAAGGTCCAAAAGCCTGGATCAGCCCAAACCCCTCTCCAGCCCAACCAGATGCCCCCCCAGGGCCATTCTCAGCAGGGGGGGAAGGTCAGATGCCAACTGGAACATTCATTCATTCATTCATTCATTTCATTCTCAGCAGGAGGGGAAGGTCAGATGCCAACTTCATTCATTCATTCATTCATTCATTCATTCATTCATCCATCCTTTTCTTTATTTATCACACTTGTGTATTGCACCAATTACCGCTGGGCACTATCCTAGCAGTTTGCACCCAAAGCAATATGGAAGTAAAATGAATCTCAAATAAATCCCGCAGTCATCTAATAAATCAAAAGAAAATTTAAAAAGCCCTTGAAATGATAGCAAACGAGAATCATCAAGACTGTCAACTCATGAGACATGATTTATATTATTTATGCTCTCATTGTGCAAAACACTTAAGATTCAGTCCTGGAGTAAAGTAACAACAGACATGCAGCATATTTGTGACCGCAGTCCAACAGCCACTACAGACTCTTTTGGGCCATGGAGTTCAAGTCCAAAAAATGAGAGACTATTTTTCTAAGTTTAGGTAGAGGAGTTTCTGGGAACAACCTCCATCTCTGGGGTTTTTTTTTTGGGGGGGGGAGATGATGTGGGTGCTGGAATCCCAGCAGCGATTTATATGTGCATAAGTGAAACCAAGGAAAGTCTGCATTTGCACATGTAAATGGTGGTGGCAAATGGACGCTAATGAACAAGAGGCTGGTTGTGCTCCTGACCACGCATCCAGCTGTGCAACCAGGAGCGCAACCTGCACCTCATTAACGAGCAGCAATTTCTTGTGACTTTCACCAGTTCACTTGCCCAACCTTGGCCTGTTTTTTTGGGGGGGGGGCTATCCTCACAGCCTCCCCTGGGGGGCTTTACACCCTTCTTAAACCTCCCTCCACCCCAGCCTTCACCCTGCCTTTCCAAGGACCCCCGTCCTCATCCATTACCTGTCAGGGGGCCGACGTTCCAAGCGATATTGTTGCACCACCCAGTCGCCTGAACCCAGTGCACCGTGCCGGCGTTGATCCAGACCAGGTCTCCCGGGCGCTGGATGAAGCGGTAGACGGGGATGTTGGCCTGGTAAAGATCTTCCAGGATGGGCCACCATGAGCCAGTCAGGTAGTCCACACCATGCCTGTAAGGAAGCACGTGCGGAGATGATGAGGAAGGAAGTGCAAATGACAGCCCTCCCCCACTCCACAAATGAACCACGTGCAACATCCCAGCAGGGAGTTCTCCCGCGTGATCCCCATGGAAATACGCAGGAGGTCTTCCAAGAGCATCATCGTGCTCTTAACCTCCTGCGCATTAAGCTGCCGCTCCCTCCGGAGATTTCCCTTCCTCACTTGGTCATCCCCATGGAACAGAGGCTTCGGCTGCTCTCTTACTGGCCCTCTGAATCCTCTGCTACGTTTTCCTCCGTGCAGAAAGCCAGCGGGAGGGCAAATCTTACAAAGTTCCCCCCCCCACAATGAGGCCCAAGGAGAGCTTCTCTCCCCCCCCACGTCCTCTACCCTCCCTGGGAGAAACCACCCCAGCTGAAGCCGTTATACGCCTAGCCACCCCTTTCCTTGGGAAGCCTTCCCAACCTGTCAAAACTCCAGAGATGGGAGAAAAAACATGGGGGGGTTGCTCTTGAACACAGGGAGCCCCGACACCCCCCCCGGGAGCCCCTTGTACCTGTCACAGAAGGCGCTGATGTTTTGCCAATAATGCTCGTGGACAGCAAACCACTCACAGTCACCTGGCCCGATGTTGATGTTCACGGAGCAGAAATTATTGTTCTCCTGATGCCCTGCAAAAGATGGGACAGAACTCCTCTTAAGCCCTTTGATACTTCGGAAAAGAGATTTTTGTGTGTGGAGGAACTGATCTCCTCTATATGAGAATCAGACTCATTATCTCCACTGTTGCCCAGGCTGAAGGAATGAAACCGACGGAAAGGTTCCCAACCTTGCTCTCCCACTAACCCCCCCCAAAAAACTCTTAACCCCGCGTTCCTCTCAATTCTCCCCAAATGCAGGGTGCAGGCGGTTTTACGCCTTGGAGAAGCCCCTCTTTTCCCGAAGCCAGAGAGGAGGTCCACAGCCTTTCCCATGATTCCTTCTCAGCCGCTGGCATAAAGAGGTAGAGTGCCTTGGGATTGGGAGGTTCTCCCAAGCTGTCGATGGCTCGTGACCTGCCAACCAAGTTCTCTCCTCCTCTTTCATGAAGTTCTCTCCGTTAAAGTCGTCAGAAAGGCGTGTATCCGACAACTGCCTGTGAGGTCCAGAGCCACTCTTACCTGGCGTGCGGCTGCCGGGGACTTTCATATACAGCTGCACCGTATTCATGCCCAGGATGGTGTGTCCCACGTGGCTCAGCATGTTCCCCGTCGAGGTGACCCGCATGAATGCCGGCAGTTTGAGCAGCTCCTGCAACTGCGGTTTCCACCTATCGCGCACGGGGGGGGGGGGGGG